TCATTAGTAGAGTTAATGAAATCATATACTATGCTGTCTATACTGTATTAGAAAAGGGCACAGCCCACAAGAAGTCCTAACATCTCCAGCCTTAATTCTGAGGAAGAACTAAGTCCTAATGCGGTACTAAGTCCATTTATTATATATAATTAACTCAAATTGGTTTATGTGTTCTGTGGCTCAGATGAGGAACCCCAGAAAAAAGACATACAATAGAAGACAAAATTGAAAATGGAACATTCAAAACAAATGTAAAATTCAAAGAATTTGATGTAGAAATTCAGGGCCCTTAGAGAGGGCACCTAAAAGAATATAGACCCAGGACTATGTATCTTATTCACTGCTGTGTCCCCAAGTTCAGCATGAGCCTGGCACAGGTTAGGTGCTAGTAAATATTTATTGAATTACTGGAATGAGTGACTGAGTGAGTGATCAACGATAGGTAGTGAGAGAAAACCGAGTATTTTTTTGAAGACTGTTCACCTGAGCAATTAGTAGGACCATTTCTGAAAACCCAGCTCTATATACATCTCTGTGTAGATATACACAGATGTGTGTCTCCTGCTCGTGTCCATCCCTTTGAGTCTTATTCAGACACTATGTCTGTCTTATATTTTAAGCTACATATTGGCTAATGATGAAGCACATAAAGATAATAATTATAACATCAATAGCAAATCACAGTGCCAGGCAGTGTGCGGAGGGCTTTACATGGATTAATCCTTACAACAACCTGTGAGAATACATGGATAAGACAGTGTGGCTTGGTGGAAAAGCCAAGATAAAAACCAGGCAATATAACCTCAGAGCCAGTGCTCCTAATTGCTTGGCTGCACTGCCTCCCTTTGCTGTGGAGATAGAGAAAGGGCTAAGTTTACCATTCCCTGCACTTACTGTTCATTATTCTTAAACTGTAGAAGGAAACAGCCATGAACCTCTTGGTCAGAGGGAAATTTGTAGTGAACGTGTCTTGCTTCTCACTGTGCAGCCTCTCTGCCTTCCTCCAGTGAGGACAGTCCTCCAGTTCAGCTTTTGAAAACTACTCTTCCTTCACTGAGCACAATCTTACTAGAAGGAACTTGCCTTCTCATTTATCAGATACCCGTTAATCATTTTTTATTTCCTAATGAAATCGAGAAATTGAAAGGTGCTATGCCCCAGGGACTTGAGGAGAGGGAAAACACTCTGCCCTCAGGGACCAGCTGGCCCGATGGAAACCATTTGCCCGACTGCCAGCTGCTCTGTTTCTGGTATTCAGCAATGTTGGTCAGGTGCCCAAAAGGTCCGTGGGGAGAGTGGATGGGCGTATGGTGCACAGTTGAACAGACAAGCAAGGTAAGAGTGTCATAGTGCTAAGACAGGGTTTCCATGGGTCCCAGTCTCCAGACAGGCCCATTACTGTGTGCACGCACTGACACAGGGCACACACTTGTCCCCGCCTTGTTGACTTCGCTCCATCTGGGTTTTTTTTTCTTAAGCCATTACACTGAAAACACCTAGTTTGATTGGGTTGTTTGCATAGTCTTTATGTTACTTAATTTTAATATGTGGACCATCATGTATTTTGTGACCTTTAGTGGTTAAAAAATTTTGTCTCATTGTATTTAAAAAGATTTCAATAGCATGAGTAAGAAAATGTTTTAAATGATCACTTGTATAATCCCACTTTCCTAGTACAAACACTAATATCATCTTGTGGTCTTTTTGCTCTTTTTCCACGTACACGTAAAAGTATTTTAAACATTTAAGATCATATCTGAAAAGCTTTCTTTATAATGTAAATTGTGTTTTCTGACAGGAGACATGGAAAGGGTGCACTCCAGCTCTCCTGCTCCCCACTCCCTTTACTGCCTGCATAGGCTGTCGGCGTGAGGGGCCAGAGGCCTGAAATTTCAGAAAAATTAAAATAAGTGATAAGAGAGGATTGAATAAGAGGCATATTTCTTTGATATAAAAAGACAGGATTCTAGTGGTGGAAAGATAAATTTCATATAGCTTTAAGTACATTAACATCAATAATCAGATTCAATGGCATAATTTTATCATTACACTGTAGACTGTGGTAGTTAAGGCCAACAGTGTATTACTGATCTTCCTATCATGCAGGGCTGTGAGGTTTCTTTTTTTAGGATTTAGTACCCCCCAAATTATTTCCTTTAAAAAACTGAGGCTCTTCTGTTACAGGTTAATGCAAGTTATAATAGTTAATAGAAAAAGCTGAGTTTTTACCCTTTAATAGAAAATACTAGAAAGTGCATGTCTACATTTTAATTCTTAATCATAGTAATCATATAAGCCTATGCAATTAATATGTTGGCTTCTCCCTTCTTCATATAGGTTTGATTTTTTTCATTTTTATTTTAATAATCTTGTCATTTCATTCACCTTTTCATATTTTTTTTACAAATAGGGTGTAAATTATAAATAAAATCTTCATTTTAGATGTTCTCATGGGTTTACTCTAAGTGAGTAGAAATGTTATGTACAGAAAGAGCCTATAGAGTTAGTTTTGCCAGAATATTCTAAAAGTAGCTCATCCTTTCATGTGTCTCTGGGCTGTCTGTGTGTCCTCTCTGGAGAAGTGTCTGTTCAGGTCCTTTGCCCATTATTTAATTGGAGTGTTTGGGGGGTTTTTTTGGTGTTGAGTTTTATAAGTTCTATGTAAATTTTGGACATTAACCCCTTATCAGATGAATTGGCAAATATGTTCTCCCATTCTGTGGGTTGTCTTTTTATTTTGTTGCTGTTTTCCTTGCTGAGAAACTTTTTAGTTTGATATGGTCTCTTTTGTTTCCCTTGCCTGGGGAGATATATCTGATAAAATATTGCTACATGCTAAGTTTGAGATTTCGCTGCCCATGTTTTCTTCTAGGATATTTATGGTTTGGGGTCTAACATTTAATTCTTTAATTCACTTTGAATTTATTTTTGTATGTGGTTTAAGAAGGTGGTCTCATTTAATCTTTCTGCAAATATCTGCCCCATTTTCCCAATACCACTTATACAATAAATTATCTTTAGTTCATTGTATGTGCTTGCTTCCTCTGTTGACTATTAATTGACCAAAAAGGTGTGGGTTTATTTCTGGGCTCTCTGTTCTGTTCCATTGATCTGTGTGTCTGTTTTTGTGCCAACACCATGCTGTTTTGATTACTATGGCCTTATGGTATAGTTTAGTACTAATCATTAGAAAAATAGAAATTAAAACCACAATGAAATAACATGTCATACGGTCAGAGTGGCTGTTATCAATAAATCAACAAACAAGTGCTGGTGAGGATGTGGAGAAAGGGGAGCACTTTTGCACTGTCAGTGGGAATGCAGATTGGTGCCACCACTGTGGGAAGCAGTATACAGATAGCTACCTCAGAAAATTAAAAATGGATCTGCCTTTTGACCCAATGATCCCACTTCTGGGAATGTATCTGAAAGAACCCAAAACACTAATTTGAAAGAGTATAAGCACCTCTACATTCATTGCAGCATTATTTATAATCATCAAGATATGGAAGCAGCCAAAGTGTCCATCAGTAGATGAGTGTATAAAGCAACTGTGGGACATTTATACAATGTAATAATACTCAGCTGTGAAAAAAAGAGAGAGAGAAGAAAGAAGAAAGAAAGAAAGTTACACCCTTTGCCACAGTATGGATGGACATGGAGAACATTGTGCTAAGTTAAATAAGCCAGTCAGAAAAAGACAAATACCATATGATTTCACTCATATGCAAATCTAATGAACAAATTGAACTAACAAGCAAAAATAGAAACACTCATAGATAGAGAGCAGGATGAAAGTTAAGTGGGGGAGGGTAGAGGGCGAAGGAATTGAGAAAAAGTACTTAAGGGCATGAACAACAGTGTGGTGATTATGGGGGTGAGGAAGATACGAGGGGACTAAATGATAATGGAAAAAATTACAATAAGATTTTTAAAAAAATGAAAGTAGTTCATAGTGTAGTTGAAAAAAATACGTATTCTTCTTTCCTCATCTATGGGATACTCTTGCCAGATGCAGTAATTACTAACCTTTCTTTTGGAGTAGGGTGGTCACAGAGCATCTGTCAAACCCGAATGAGAGTTATAGACTCTCTCCTCAGAAAAAATTTGTAAAAGAACGTGTGCACATACTATTGAAAGCAGTTTCAGGGTCCACAGGTCCACTGGACTCCAGATTTAGAGCTGTTTCGCTAGAGAGAAAGAAAGGAGTTGACATTTATTGACTAGAATTCTGTACCATGTTTGAACCCAAGAGTTTTGTGTCCAGAGTTACTCATGCCTCATACTGCCTCCCAATCAATCATTAATCACCATTACTTCTTCCTTTCTGCCCAGGTTATACCAGATCTTCTAAATATTCTGTTCTTTAGTAGTAGTACTCCTTGGTTAAACATCTATCTAAAGTTTCTTAAGATATTGGCTAACATGTAGGGATGTCTTTACTATAACCCAATGTCAGTGTTAAGTAAATTGGAAATGAGATAAAACTTAACCAAAAAATACATTTCTCTAAATTTAATATTTTTAGCAGGTAATTTTTTTATGGGTTGGATTTTGAATTACACATCTGCTTGGATCCTGGATAACTTTTTATGGTAGTAATACATGACTGGACCTTGAGCATACTTGCAAGATGGGGAGAAATAAAAAAATAAATGTGACTTACTAATGATCTGTAGAAAACCCATCCTTAATAAACTCAATCGATCCATTAACAACATGATATCAAATGCATCCTTCTTACCATCACAAGGGGGACTGACTGCTTGATGACTAGAAGTATGTCAGACTTAAAATCCCTAGTCTTTCTCATTTACCTGCAGTTGAGCACAGTTAAGTGGATAAGGAGCACAGTTCAACTGGATAAGAGTGTGTCCAACTTGGGGCAGTGTCTGAGCCTCAGTCCACAATGTCATGGTAGGTATGGGTTTTCAGGCACATAAAGAAAGATGAGTAATCTGAGGACATGGCATGATGATTGTGGTCTTTTTCTTTACTAGGCATTTGGGCCTGGACCTGGTGCCTCGAAAGGACTTTGAAGTAGTGGATTCGGACCAGATTAGTGTCTCAGATCTCTATAAAATGGTAAGAAATCTAGCTTGTTCCTGTACACCTCATTTTTCTCCTTTATATTTTTCTAATTATATTATGAAATAATGTTGCTAAAGTTGTTTCATTGTCTTTGTCCCAGGATAATTAAGGAGTCTTCCTCATTCTGACAGTGTATCACACTTGCTTTTCTAAATGGAATTACATTGTAGAGTGTTGGGCTTACTGTAATGTCTACGGGGCATTTCTCTGTTGTTTTTGCTGGTGAACAGAGCTTCTTCAGTCTGCACCAGTTACTAAAATTTTGTCTCTGCCCTGACCAGTGCAGCTCAGTTGGTTGAGCTTCATCCTGCAAAGTAAAAAGTCACCAGTTAAATTCCTAGTCAGGGCACAGGCCTGTGTTGCAGGCCTCTCCTGGTTGGAGGCATGTAAGAGGCAACTGATTTATGTTTTTCTCACACATTCATGTTTCTCTCCTACTCCTTCTCTCTCCCTTCCAATCTATCTTTAAAAATAAATAAATAAGTCTTGGCTGGTGTGGCTCAGTGGATTGAGCGCTGGCCTGTGGACAAAAGGGTCACCATTTCAATTCCCAGTCAGGGCACGTGCCTGGGTTGTGGACCAGGTCCCTAGTTGGGGGGTGCATGAGAGGCAACCACTCATTGATGTTTCTCTCCCTCTCTTTCTCCCTCCCTTTCTCTAAAAATAAATAAATAAAATCTTTAAAAAAATCATTGTAAAAATAAATAAAGTCTTTTAAAATATTAATTTTTTTGCCCTGGCTGGTGTAGCTCAGTGTATTGAGTCCTGGCCTGTGGACAAAAGGGTCACCAGTTTGATTTCCAGTCAGGGCACATGCCTGAGTTGCAGACCAGGTCCCCAGTTGGGGGCCCACGAGAGGCAAGCACACATCGATGTTTCCCTCTCTCTTCCTTCTTTCCCCTCTCTCTAAAAATAAATTAATAAAATATTTTTTTTAATAAATTAAAAAAATTTTCCCTCTTGTTGATGCTGAAAAGAGCCAATTATTGACTAATGTAGTGTTTAAACCTGAAAATAATATATCAGTATTTCTAAGAGAGATATAACCTGTTAAATCCAGAGTATCTATTGGTTATTATAAAAAGGCATGGCGTTGACTAATGACCAAGTTTACCTTTTATAGGCTGACTGAGAAGAAGTATTTAAAAGAAAGGTACAAAATTTTAAAGTAGAACGAACACCAGAAACCTCAGATGACTATTAAACTTAGGCTAAGGGACTGGGTAAAACTCACTTGGAGAAATATTTACATGTTTAAGGAATATATATTGGTGAGAATTACAAGTTTTAGAAAAATTACAAGTTTCTCTTTAAGAAAATGAAAAGGTGTTCAATATCACTAATCTTGAGGGAAACGCAAATCAAAGCCACAGTGCAATATTCCCTTACACCCAGAATGCCTGTGATCGAAATGACAAGGCATTAATGGTGGCAAGGATGTGAAGAAAAAAGAACTCTTGGTACTGTTGGTGGGAATGTAAATTTGTATAGCCACAAAGAAAAACTCTATGGAGATAACTCGAAAAATCAAAAACATGATAACTACCATACGATTCAGCAGCCCCACTTCTGGATGTGTATCCCGAAGAGTTGAAATCGGGGTCTCAGCAAGATGCTGTGCTCCCGTCTTCACGGCCGCAGTCTTCACGATAGCCACACCATGGAAACAACCCAAGTGTCCCTTGGTGGGTGAACGACTAAAGAAAATGTGGTGTGTGTATAGATGATGGAACATTAAGAAAGAAGGACATCCTGTTGTTTGTGACAACATGGATGAACCTTAAGAGTACTATGCTAAGTGAAATAAATCAACTAGAGAATGACAAGTACTTAATGATCTAATAAGTGGAATCTAAAAATGCTGAATTCATAGAAACAGAGAGTAGAATGGTGATTGCCAGGGGCTGAGGATGAAGCGAGTAAAGAGATACTGGTCATTGGGCACAAACTTTGATAGTTTTTTAAAAAAATAGTTTTGAAAGATTTTATTTATTTATTTTTAGACAGGGGAAAGGGAGGGTGACATGTGCCCTAACTGGGAATCGAACCCACAACCCTTTGGTTTGCAGGCTGATGTTCGGTCCACTGAGCCACACCAGCCAGGGCACAAACTTGGATAGTTTTAAGAGGATTAAGTTCTGAGGACCTAATGTACTGCATGGTGAAGATAGTTAACAATAGTATATTATGTACTCAGAAGTTCTTAAAGGAGTGTATCTTCAATCTTCTCACAGCAGCAATGAAGTAACTATGTTAGATGAAGGCTATATTAACCTTATTGTGGTTGGTACTCATTTTACAACATATATGTATATCAAATCATCACATCGTATACCTTAAGTTTATACTATGTCATATGTCAATAATATCTCATAAAGCTGGGGGGAAATCTTTCTCAGAACATAGATACGAGCCTCTAGATTGAAAGGATCAAACAAGAATTTAACACTTAATTGTAAAATTTCAGCTCACAAAGCTGAAAGCCTTCTGAGAGAAAATAGGTCACCTACTGAGGATTTGTTGTAAGAATGGCATTTGTCTTCCTAAAAGCAACACTGAAAACTAGCAGTAATGAAGAATTGCCTTTAAATTCTGAGGGGGAGAAAACCCAACCTAGAATTTTGTATTTACTGTCATATTATCAATCAAGTGGGAAAATACCCTGAAGAAAGTTTTGGTCACTCAATGTCTAAAAAAAATCTCTGTGAAAACTCTTTTCAGGAAACTACTGAAGATTAGATTATTTAAAATGAGGATGAAACCAAAAGATGCCACTATGTGCCATCCAAGAAAGGAATTCTGACCCACTTGAGAGGTGCACAGAATTCTCAGATTAATGTCCGAGGGGCCCTAGGATGGCAGTTGTGCATCAAACAGGCCTAGAGAGTGACTGATCCCGGTGAGAGCAGAACACAGCTGGGAGGGGCGCCTGCAGGCGAAAGACCGCTGCACAGAGTATCTGGTAGTCTCAGCACGTGGGGAACGCTGCTGAAAGCTGTTTTTTCGAGTTGTTGGAGGGCAGTAAACGATATTCAAATGTTGCAATAGTATAAACAAATTTTGACCAAAACTTGTGAGATTTAAGAATACAGTTGAAATGAAATGATATAGCAAATGCAGTAATCTTCAACTTTCATAATAAAAGGCCAGTAGAGAAATCTAAAATTGGATAAAGAGAAAGCACTGTAGGTAAGACATTTAGAAATATTTGGTAAACTTTAGGAAAAAACACAGTAATGAGCTGAAAGTACTTTATCTTCGAGGTACAGGATAGGGTGAACAGAGGACTGACAATTTATTGCAAGCTTTTTAAGCCTATGTATTTTGAAAATTGTATGTTTATATTACTTTTAATAAATATTAATGTTAACTTATTTTTATTTATGCTATTACAGTTGCCCCAGTTTTCCCCCATCCCCCCTCCTCCACCCTGCCTGCTCCTTACTTCCATAGTTATTCCCCACACCACTGTTTATGTCCTTCATATATGTTCTTTGACTAATCCCTTCACCTTCTTTCAAACAGCCCTCCCCTCTTGCAGCTGTCAATCCATTCCACGATTCTATGCCTCTGGTTCTGTTTTGCTCATTAGGTTATTTTGAGATTAGATTAGATTCCTCTTATAAGTGATTCCTCTTATAAGTGATGAGATTAGATTCTTATTATAAGTGATGTCATATGGTATTTGTCTTTTACCAACTGGCTTATTTCACTTAGTATAATGGTCTCCATGTTAATTCAAAATGTTGGTTTCTCCAAAAGGCCTAAGGGCCCTAGCCAGTGTGGCTCACTGGGTCTTGTACACTGGTTGATTCCCGGTCAGGGCACATACCTAGGTTGCAGTTTGGTTCCTTGGTTGGGGTGCATGTGAGAGGCAACCAGTCCATGTTCCTCTATCTCTTTCTCTTTCTCCTACTCCCTCCCACTCTCTCTAAAATCAACAAGCATGTCAGGTAAGGATTAAAAAAAAAGAGAGAATGGCCTAAGGTACAAGTTCCTTTATATTTTATTTCATTTTATGCTGATTTTTCTGTCTTTCTATCATATACATTTGTTTTTGATGGAAAGAATTAGATATGATAAAAAAACTGATTCTGAGAGTTCATTCCATAAATTCATTGAAAACCAGTTACTTTTATGTTAAATTGCATACAGTAAATACATAGTAAATGTTTTGTTGATAAATCTTGAATTCATCAACAAGTTTCAAAGGAATAACCTTTTAGAATTTTTGCATTAACATTTAAATTTATCATTGGAATATGAAACTTTCTGATTATAATAATACTCCTTGCCACTTATTTTACAAGAACACCTTTATGAATAGGACTATACCTTAAGTTTGCATTTAGTGCATTTTGTTTCTCATAAAAAATTCAAGCCCCTACACAATGTTGAATGATAATGATTGATTCAATCTCTTTAAATACACAGGTGGATTTTCTATATGACAAGAGCCAAAGGAAGCCCTAACACTCCTCTGTTCTTGCTTCCACATGATCGCAAGTCTAACTACGCTTTCAATAGTGGAGAATTGATGCTACCTAAACTAGAAAGCATTTCAAAGGGCAACAATGAACTATTTGTGTTCATCTTAATTAGCCACGACTCTGGGAAAAGTGAGAACTTGAAGATGACATAATATGAGAGCTTCTAAATTGTGGAAGACCTAGCAGAATAGTCACATTATAATCTCTTGCTACATTGTGACCCTTTCTGTTACATTGTAGTGCTGATTTATATTTGTAGTAGACCAATGTTTATACTTCCAGTTTTGGATTTAAATCAGTTGATTACATTATTTACTAATGATCAAGCATCATTGGTAATCCTGACGAGATGTCTTATATTTCCTTGTAACACCCACAATACCTAACACAATTCTCAGTGTACATAGAGGGAATTAATTGTGTTTTTCAGTTGAATAGTTACAGTTTTTTCCCCTTATATTGGTAGACTTGTGTGTACTAAATAGACCAGAGACATCCAAGAGCTGACGATGGCTTTTCTGTGGGGGAGAAATTTGGCAGAACCAGTAAAGTAGTCCATGCATTTAAAATTAATTTATATTTTTGATGTACCTTCTTAGGCACTTGGGATATAAGGATGGTTAAGACGGGTATTTTGCTCCCAGAGAGGGCAAAGTCTAGAGTCGGTTAGCAAACGTGGAAACAATAATTACAGCTGTACTACAGGTGATGGCATCTCTGCAGAGGCAAGTATTAGCTGGCCAGCTAAAGGCTGCCCAACAGCAGGGCAGGGGTTTTCCTTAATGGTGTCATGAAAGATGCTCCAAAATGCAAGCTTCTGTGCCTTCTCTGACGGCCATGTGCTGTGCTCTCAGACTAGGCTGAAAAGTCCTACCCAGTTATGATGCCTCTGAACTTGAGAATAACATTTGTTATTGTCAGCATGGATGTTTTACACTGAAATTAGCTGTAAACTTCCATATATAATTATAATTGAACATTTATATTTAAGATTAGTAGTCATTTTTAAGAGTTAGTAAATCCACTTCAGAAGAATGCCTTAGTGCAGCCCCCAAATGTAAAATAAAGCAGTGGAAAGTATTTTAGGTTAGTAAGCTTCCCGGTGGACATGGGTCAGTAAACCACAGAAAACTTGATTTTTTGTTTTGAAAGCTTGATTTTTAAGAAGCTTTTTTGTAGCCTCTTTTATATGTGAACTTTTCTTTCGTGTGTACACATTCTGTGTGATGATTTCCCCAGCTGGTGGAGGCCTGTTTTTATTATACATTTGTCCCCTGGTATCCACAGGAAATTGGTTCCAGGATCCTACGCAAATACCAGAATATGCAGGTGCTCATGTCCTTTATATAAAATGGCAGAGTATTTGCATATAACCTATATTTGCACATAGGCTTCAGCATGGTATGCCTATACATCACTTCATTGTAGTGCTTAGCTTGTGGCAAATTCAGTTTTTGCTTTTTGGAACTTTCTGGGATTTTTTTCCCCTCTAATATCTGAATCTGTGGTGAGTTGAATCCATGATTATAAAACCCAAAACCCATGGATACGGAGGGCCAGCTGTATTTAAATGTGTCTTGGGAACATGTGGTCCCATGAATGAATATTAATAGTCAACAATAATTTGCTAACTTAGTTGTTAATACACACAAATATTTAATACTTGTTTCATTAATATTTCATTGTTTAATATTAATATTTATAAACATTAATGTTGAATATTAATTTAAGTGCATCTTAATTGCACTTAATATTTAATTGTACTTCACTTTTATTTAGGGTTAAATATGTGTATTTGAAAAAGAAATGAAATCATTCTACTCAGCCACCATTCCTCATACCCATGTAGAGAGGAACAGCTCACCAAATGAGTGCTGTCTCACACCTCTAGGGCCCAAAAGGGAGCAGGATAGAAACTCACTTTTCAGTTCACCAAGACCAGGGGCATAATGTTTGTGAACCTATAATTTTTTCTGGTAAGGGTTACTTCTAAACGTGTCTGACTTTTCTATAATAACTAATTATGAAGAAGAATACCAATAATAATAATAACGCTGTCCTTGACTGGGTAGTCAGTTGGTTAGAGCGTCATCTGATATACCCTGGTCACAGCACGTAGAAGCATCAACCAATGAATGCATAAGTAAGCGGAACAACAAATCAATGTCTCTGTCTCTTCCCTCCTCTCCTTTCTTGTTTCTTTAAAATCAAATTAAAAAAAGAATACCGATTATAGGTAATAATGATCAACCACCTACAAATGTAGTAAATATATTTAGTAAATATAGTGGTACTATGCTGACTTAATCTGCACAAAATCCAGTGAGGTTGGGTTCACAAAATGTTATCTTCAGTTTATAAATGAGTCAAGATTTAAAACCAGGTGTCCTGACTTAGGTCTCTAATTACTTTGTCATGCTGCTTTCCATTATGAAATTTGAGCCTCATAAAAACCCTGTGAGGAAGACAGTAAAAGCTTTTATCTTAATTTTACAGTTGAAGAAAATATCTCTTAGAGTAAGTGATGTCTTTGAAGTTTTACAACCTACTTGGTGTGGCTGGGATTGGAATCAGCTTCTTCTAACTTCAGCTAGCAGCAAAGGAGCAGAACAGAGAGATGTTTAGGATGGAGCCCCTTCTGGTTAAAAGCTGTACGTCCTCCAGTGCGGAGAGCCTGGGAAAGCCAGATCACTCAGCTCAGGGCATGGTACAGACAGTGTATGGAGAGGGCAGTGCCAAAGTCAAAATCCAGTAGCGAGTACCACCTGTGACTTGGCTGGTACTCTGAGCTAGAGAGGCCTGGGTTTGAGTCCAGACATGGCCTCCTCCTTGCTATGTGAATTTCAGCAAATTGCTTCCTTATACTAAGCCTTAGTTGTCTCCATCAAATACAAATAACGTTTATCTAACAAGGGTATCAGAATTAGATCATATATGTAAAAGACATCAGAATGCCTAGCATACGGAAGATGCTTAATAAAAGTTTCCTCCTCAACTGAGTGCATTTTTCTTTCTTTCTTTCCATAGCATTTATCTAGCCGGCAGAGTGTACAGCAAAGCACATCCCAGGTAAGCGGCTTAACCAGGCTTCCCAGATTTCTCAACTCTTTCTTCCAAGAGATCACTGCACAGGGATGCACCAGGAAATGACACACACCACTGACTTTTTGATTGTGTGGTGTCTTTCATGTAAGGAGCCCTGACCTTTGAACAAATTTGTCCAGTCTCCACTTCTCTGTGCAAATTTATATAAGCGCAACTGAAAGAAAGGAGACTGAGAGACTGAAATGAATTGGTCTGGAAGAAAATAAAAACGTTGTTTAACAGGGTGGATCAAGTTCATTAGGGTCATGACAGGATTTCCAAGAAATGACTTTCACATGGTTCCCTGGAGTATTGAGATGTTTGTGACCTGATGGAGATTTTGAGTTCTCTTGTAAGTTGGAATTCCGTTCCCCTACCCCCATCACTCTCTTCATTTCTCCCAGCTGCATGCTTGCCCATCTCAAACCAAGCATATTGTCACGGCGCCCTGCTGTTCAAGAAAGCACCTCCAGTCTCTCAGTAGTATCAGGAGAGTTAGTCATTGGGTTTTCATTCCATTTGTGATCAATGAATAACTAAAATAGAAGTCACTGTGTTTTGCCTTCCTCGTTAGGTAGATACGATGCGCCCACGTCATGGGGAGACCTGTCGGATGCCCGTGCCACATCACTTCTTTCTCAGCCTGAAGAGTTTCACCTACAATACCATTGGGGAAGACACTGATGTCTTTTTTTCCTTGTATGACATGAGAGAAGGCAAGCAGATCAGGTAAAAATCACTAGAAGATTGGATGAGGCTGAGACTCTGGGTTAGGATGGTGTAGCTGGGGTCATAGGCGTTTTGGCCTTCAGAGAAGATAGATACACAGAGGAAGGAAAACAAGATAAAGTAACCTCATCTCATTTAGCTGGGAGTTTGCGTCAAATTCCAGTGTGTTCTGAAGGCACATGTGGTGGCTGGTTTTTTATCCTGTTTCTATTTCCTCGTGGAAACTCACATCCCAGTGTTGGCTATCACCACTTTAGGGAGAGAAAAGGATGCATCTATTGCCAGAGAAAATGAGTAGAAGAAATATAGAACAAAGCAAATTCAGCAGAGAGGTTTAGCTCCAGAATGCAGGAAGCCCAGAGCTCTGCCTTAATGCGTGTGGGAGAGAGGGTTCCCAGGGAAACAGGCTGATGTGTCCCATGGGAGTGCAGCCCCAGCCCTCAGTGCCATTCAGGCCCTGTGAAGGGGAGAGCATCTGTTAGGCACAAGGGTAGGGGGGCCTGACTGTAGCATTCCTCTTTGCCTAGATTGGAGGAGAGGTGCAGAGAGGGGCTGACTTGAATTTTGGTGGAGCAGCGAGCCCTTTAAGAAGGACCAGCTGCAGCAGTACTTTCCCCTTGAAAGGGAGGGAGTAGTCAAGGAGACACATTGGGCTTCTCTTCCTTAAGAGGCCAGCGTGGCTCTGATGGGGTGAGGTGACCTTTGTAGCCAACTGGGATCTTAGGGAGCCCAAACATTTCTCCATAGTCGTCTTGTGGGGCAGAGAGAGAAAAAAAAAAACTTGGAATACTTTTGTATTGCTTGGTAACTCATTGTGTTAAGAATATTTCATGTTTGTTTTTTTCTTAAATTTGAAAACAGCTGTTTCTTTTCCAATTGAATGTTACACGTGGGAAATTTTAAACTGGAAGTTATAACAGTACAAAGGAAAGTCAGTATTGCATGTTCCACAGTGCCGCTGATCTCAACTCTCCCCACCCAAAATAAAGCGCTGTGCTTCACTTTGGCCTGGTAATAAAAGGAAACACTCGTTAAGGAGAGCATGCAGCTGTGTCTTGGCACCAGTGGCTTTTAGTGTGTGCTCCTAGGAAAGCTGTGCTGGAGAAAGTGGTGGTGGCGATGACGGCAGCTCCTGCTGCTGCACCCAGGAGAGATTGCAGGCCAGTGCTGCACGGGTGTGGATGCTGGCTGTTGTGTTTCTACTACTAGACCAGAGGTTTGTAAACTTTATTGGTATTTATTTTTGAGTGTGGAAGAATTCTTTCTTTAAGCTAAATTTTATGAGAAATTAAGCTAAACTTTATGAGAAAGTTTAATACATGAAACAGAGGAAGTCGAACTACTCCACTGTTGAAGGGAAAGGGGAAGTATCAGGAATCTCACTGTGCCTCTGTTCCCCCCCCCCCACGGCCCCCAGTACCCTGTGGAACCACAGAGGGTCCATGGGTTGCTGTTTGAGAACCAGAGCACACCATGTTGTCATCCTGAGTGCCAGGGACTGTGTCCTCTCTCCGCGACCCAGCACCCCACACAGTGTCCGTGCCAGTACACGTGCTATCAGGGACCTGCACAGAGAAGAAGCACCCGCTGCTCTGGTTTGCAGTCCACGCAGGACTGTCTTGTGCTGTTGTGCTCTTGTGTGTCAGTTGTTTTAAATTGAATTTATTGTTTATGATTTAGTCTCAAGAAACAAAACATTTTAACAGAGAAATGTAAACTTGTATAGAGTTGCTGAAAGTGTTCAGGTAATTAAAAATCCCTATATATTGGAAAACTATGCTACCTCTCTATTTGCATAATAAAACTATAAGGTCATTAGTTGACTGTACCATCTACTTTGTTTAATATTACTAGTGAACTAAAGGGCAGAAATTTAGATCTAGGTTTAATTAATAAATTTCCTTTACATTAGGATTTGTATAGTTGTATAAGCCCTCAAAAATTTTTGATCATTGAGCTGGTATTGCTAGAAAGTTATTCTTTCATTACTAGAAGGAATTATATTGAGCATAGGTTATTTCTCAAAGCAGTTGTCAGAAGTCACAAAAGATTAGGGATGTATTAGATCACAATAGTGACACAGAGAATCGGTTTAGTTGTTTTTTCTCCTCAAGACAACTCTTGCCAATCAAGTATTTCTAGTCAAGTCTCCAGTCAGATGGTACCAGCTAGTGTTCAGTACTGCCAGGATGCTTTCACTTCTGGGCCAGAGAACATAATGTGTGCAGAGGGGCTAAACAAGACCAGGTATTCCTCTACCTTGTCCCTTCGCTGATTCTACAAGCAGACCTAGAAGTAGAAGGGCTAAAGGGAACGACCGGTTGCAGAACAGACACACCATGCATCACAACGTGTTGTGACTGATGAGTGTTTGGTGGTCTGCAGAGCGAAGAAGCAGCGGCTGGCAAGGCCTTGGTAGCTCTTTTTTTTTTCTTTTTTAACTTTTTTTATTGATTATGCCATTACATTTGCTCTATTCCCCCCTCCATTCCCCTCCACCCTGCATACCCCTCCCCCACCATTTCCCCCTTTAGTTCATGAACACGTGTCTCAAATTCTTTAGATTCTGTATTTCCCCTGCTATTCTTACCCTCCCCCCTATCTATTTTCTATCTACTGTCTATGCTACTTATTTTCTGTACTTCTCCCCTCTTCCCCTCCTCCCACTCCCCTGTTGCTAACCCTCCATGAGATCTTCATTTCTATGGTTCTGCTCCTGAGCTAGCTGTCCTCTTAGTTTGCTTTTGTTTTAGGTGTGGTTCTTAATAACTGTGAGTTTGCTGTCCTTTCACTGTTCATCTTTTTTATCTTCTTTTTCTTAGGTAAGTCCCTTTAACATTTCATATAATAAGGGCTTGGTGATGATGAACTCCTTGAATTTGGTCTTATCTGAGAAGCACTTTATTTGTCCTTCCATTCTAAATGAAAACTTTGCTGGGTAGAGCAATCTTGGTTGTAGATCTTTGGTTTTCATGACTTGGAATACCTCTTTCCAGCCCCTTCTTGCCTGTAAGGTCTCTTTTGAGAAATCAGCTGACAGTCTGATGGGAACTCCTTTGTAGGTGACTGTCCCCTTAGCTCTTGCTGCTTCTAGGATTCTCTCCTTCATTTTAATCTTGGGTAATGTAATGATGATGTGCCTTGGTGTGTCCCTTCTTGGGTTCAACTTCTTTGGGACTCTCTGAGCTTCCTGGATTTCTTGGAAGTCTATTTCCTTTGCCAGATTGGGGAAATTCTCCTTTATTATTTGTTCAAATAAGTTTTCCACTGGTGGCTGTGCCTTTCCCCCTTCTGGTACCCCTATAATTCGGATGTTGGAACGTTTAAAGATGTCCTGGAGGTTCCTAAGCTTCTCCTCATTTTTCTGAATTCTTATTTCTTCATTCTTTTCTGTTTGATCATTTTTTTCTTCCTTCTGGTCCACTCCCTTGGTTTGAGTCCCAATTTTCTTTCCATTACTATTGGTTTCCTTTGTATTACCATTCATTTCAATTAGTTTAGCTTCCATATGTTTCTCTAATTTGTGACTAAAATCAACCAGTTCTGTAAGGATCCTGATAACCAGTGTTTTGAACTGTGCATCTGAAAGACTGGCTATTTCTTCATCGCTTAGATCTATCGGTTCTGGGGCTCTGAGTTGTCCTAGAGCCATTTTTGGTCTATTCGTGCTGTTAAGTAAGCGGAGCGAAGCCTTAGTTGTTTACCAGGACGGGGAGTCCCAGGTTGCTGGTTTATGACGCTGTGTGTGGGGGCGTGGTCAGAGAGGGAGCAATGGCGGTCCTCTCCGCTAGCCCAGCCCGTCCAGTCACACCACACGCCTCGGGCCTGTTTATCCGATCGGAATTGTGCGAGGCTACTGCCCGGCGCAGGCTTCCCTTCTCACTGGTTTCTCCGCATGCAAATGCGCGACCGACCGACCCACCGCGCCTCTTCCCTGTGCGCTCCCGCAGCCAGCTCGCTCTGGATCAGCACTTTCGGCTGCTTGCGCGCACACCGCGCACCACCCGGGAATTTTTTCTTGCTAACCTGCTCCGCTGCTGGCTTCGCTCCTCGTACCGGTCCAGCTGAGTATCTAGTTGTCCTTTGGACTCCGTATTGTCGATTTTCCGTGTGGCTTGGTTGTGACTGCTGTTAAAAATAGTTGTTCTTAGATTTGGTTGTGCACAGAGACAAGGTGGTTCCTCCACCTATGTCTCCATCTTGGCGGAAGTCCCTTGGTAGCTTTTTTGTGTGTGATGTTTTTATCCTTCCAAACAGAATCATAACTGTTGAGCCTTGAAATCCCAGTCTCTGATTAAGACCTCTCCTCTGAGTTTCGGTCCTTATTTCCTTTTTCCTACCAGACCTCTGCTGTTAGATGTCTCCCAGACATTTCTCCCTCAGCACAGTAAAACCGAATTCATTTTCTTTCCTCACAGATGTATTTCCTCCTGTGCTCTTTAAACCAGAACCATTGAAAGGCATTACCATTTGCTCAGAGATCCACGTCAGCACCTCAGGAAGCCTTGTGGACTCCTCCCTCTCCATCTCATCTCCTTCCCTTCACAGTCAATCCCTGTACTCTGTCAGCTTCTGTCTCCCAGATATCAATCCAAATCACTAACCACATCCGTCCCACTGTCACACTGCTCCTTCACATTCTGCCCCAGACACAGACTCCCTGCATTCTCCATCTTCCTACCCTGACTTTTTCTCCACACCGCCACCATACTTTTCTTTGGAAAATGCTGGCACAACTGTCAGCCCCCACTGAACCTAGAGCCCTTGTTATTTGGCGTGGCATTAGAGGCCCAGGGTGATACAGTCCTGCCTCTGACCTTGTTTCACACGTCCTGTTTCATTCCTGTTGACTTCCTTGGCTTTCTCTAAACATATCTTGCTCTTTCATGCGTCCCTACCCTTGTTGGCTTGGTAAACTCCTGTCCATTCTTTGAAACTCAACTTTCATGAAACCTTCCTCAGTGTTTATGGGTGAAATTGCACCCTGGGACTTAGTCGTT